TCATTTATATAGGAGTAAAACCTCCATTGTTGTCTTTCCCAACGTTGTTTTATTGGTATGAGCTTATCAGATTTATGATACGCGAGTTTTTCTGACGTTGTTTCCATCAAACTCAAATTAAACACCTTCGTTTTTGCCATGAACAGAATCAATATGTGCTTGCATGAGTTCATAAGAATAGAATAGCCCGTATGTCCAAATCAGTTTCAATCCACTATCTCATAGATGCACTCAGTAAGTTGTCCGTTCTCGGATTCGCTTACTAGAACTGAAAATCTCCAGAACAGTACTTGATTCACCTACCATCAATATTTCCAAACGTATCAATTGATGCTGAAAACGTTGGAAATATCCTCTCCATCTAATTACTTCTTCCTTTCTACTCATAATAATTCTCTAAAGATGATACTAATTCATTAGGTTTGTTCAGTGGTCAGTTTCATTGTAAGGTAGAATATTGTGGACAATCAAGGACGCATCCAATCACAGAGAATCATTCATTCTCGTTTACATCCTCAAGACTGCATCATGCACCATCGCCCTCAATTGGGCCAATGTTCTACAATCCTTTACATAATCTCACACGCAGTTTGCTTATTACGGCATTCGTTGCTTCGGAATTTGATTCGACTAGTCTGAAGCACCGTAGTGGTCAAAATGGTCGATCCCAACTTGTCACATGCACATTTCAAATTAAAGAATTAAAACTGATAGGTTATGAATCTATTTGATCAGTTGTTGATTATGTCACAATGTCATGTCATTACCGCAATCACATCGACCGAATGTCAAACAGTCAATTTATTTGTTAGAATACCAACAAATCTATTTAAAATTTAAATCGCAGAAAGCAGTAGGCTAAAGTGTACCACAATTCAGAGCTGGACTCATTCGTAGGTTTTATGAGCAGAAGATTCTAAGCGAATAGGTAGTGGAATTCAAGAATTCTTGGTCGAAAAATATTAGTATGCATTTTCATTAATGGGTAAGTGGTGTCCGTGTTACAGGTAATGGAACGACTGAATCAATTCCGTTAACCAATTAGGGTGAATATGACCGTTTCTTGTACAGATCAAGCACTTAGGAATTTCTTTTGCAATGTGTTTGACATCAAATGAGTACTTATTTTCGGCTGTATCTTCAGGAAATATAAAACAGGTTATAATTTTCACTAAATGATTACTCAGTAGTTGAGTGGTTTTGTTCGGTTGGCTTGTTCGACTAGCCAGCGAGGTGGCGGCGTCAATCAACGGTAAAAGAATGCCGAGCGAAACACATTGTGATCAGTAACGTTACAAACGTTTGATAGCCTGGTAAATGCAGATAAACCAGGTAACAATGTCATTATTCAAATTTATTGATCGAGGCTTGATGAAATCCAATGTATCGAATGAAATCGCTGGAATTGAGAACTCAGTCAGAATGCATCAATCTGAATGGAACGAACCAGTCGCAAAGNTTTCTGGTAAACCGCTCTGTTCCGTTCTGCCCTCCACTACAAAATTCAAAACTGTTCCACTTTCACTAAACAGATCAGAAATAAAAACACGAACAGAGCTGTTCAACTTGAACAAGGATATCATCAGCTGCAGTTATACACTGTTCCCCATATGAACGAAATGAAGCAATGTACTGAAAGGAATTTCTGAGTACACATTTTCTAAACAATCGCAATCAACTATAAATTACATGTCAAATACAATTCCTGTGATAACAACTTATTGAATTTACGGTGAAAGCGTTTAACCGAAACAAATAATTCATTTGAAATCCGTGAAAATGAACAATTCGGTTCATTTCTAAACAATTATCTTGGATATGTTCATTTTCTTGCATCGCCTAACGGCATCCAACAATACGTTACGCGAAAAAACTGTTTTGTAAATCCTTTATTGCATTTCTATGCACATACCCGACAGCGTAAATTAACTTCATCCGGAGCAGCGTTTCACTAGCCAAATCGTAGAAGAGATCGGGGTCACTCTTTTGCATGAGAGCGAACGGCGTTTTCCTCCGCAACAAGTCTACATGATTGCCATGGTGTTGAGAGACGTTGTTGAACGTGACACCGACCTTATTCGCTAAATGTCCCGTGATAAAATAATCCTCTACCTGCAAGCGTACATTTTAAAATACCAACTGAAAGATTTTTTTTTAGCTAACAGAAACGCCAGAGTCAAGTTACAACTGGTGAAATGATGCATCCTATGCAAGATGATCAATTATTAATTGAACTCTCAAAAGCATCCTACGAATTCGACTGCTAACGAGTTACGTTTGGAAGTAAACAAGGAGTGGATTTCGTTCATTCACAGTTGGCGTTGAGTAAAATCGAATTAAAAAAGAATGCGTTTGAATTTTCGAAGACTTCTGCAAAATATGGATGATTCTTCAGGAATGAAGCCTTTAATTAGAAACACCTCCATAGTTTATTACTCCAAGCGGATGCTCATGTTGTTCCCACTCTGTTTTGTTCTCAGACAACGAGCAGACAATCCGGAACCAGCACAGAGTTTTCAGACTCAACGATTCGGATGCACATCGAAAAAAAAAAACGTTCTTGGAAGCTACGATTCATTCAGTTTGACTAGCC